TCTTGATAATATGGCAACATAGGTATTAGATTAAATTTACAAGAAAAAAAAATCCAGAAAAGAACCAGCGATTCTCAAAATTTTAGCAAAAAATCATGTTTTTTTGAAATTTTCAAAGTAAAATAACTCCGTTATTTTGACTTATTTGAAAAACGAAAAAGAGAAAATATGTTTCTTTTATCGAGATTTACCACCCCTTAATATACTTGCACTTATTTCTGGGACACCTTGTATATTCGAAAAAATCGAAAACGAAAACATATTTTTCCAGCAAGGCAAGGCACCTCCTCAGAATGGTGAAGTTATCAGCAAATTTTTGTAGCCAATTTCGAGAATAATTAAATAGCTAACCAAGATCGGCGTTGGATATGGAGGCCGGCGCGGCGGACTTATTTCCTATAGATTTTTATTTTTGCGGAAGAATAAAGGTTCATATTTTTAAATTGCCCATATATAATCTAGGCAAGAATTAGAACTACTTATGCGAGGGTATCTTTCATCCCCACTGAGTTAATTAATTCCGCGAGAAATGTTCAAAAACGGCCCCGTCTGTCCATAACAGAAGACGGTTGACATATCGAATAACCAAAATCTCAAATCTTGGTTTGATATTAATTTTTATTGTTATTAGATATAGTTTAAATGTGTTGATGTTGTTGAATGTAATTTAAATTGTTATAAAATTCTGCATCTCTCATTGCAAATATTTTTCCGCCGTTCAAAGCCTACTTATTCAAAGTGGGCGAATTTTTACAAAACTGTATATCTCGAGAGAAGAGGAATAGAGCAAAATATCAAGTTAAATTATTTTCAATGAATTAAAAATATACAGGGTGTCCCATATAAAAAATCAAATTTTCTATTCATAATTCCTAAATTGTTAATTTAAAAAAAAATATTCTTAAACCATTAAATTCTACATAAAAAGGTGCTTTGGAAATGTTTTCATAAAAATACAAAATTTTCTGTAGCAAAAAAGTTACAGTGATTTGTTAAAAATGGACTTTTTTGAAAAACATTCCGTAATTCTGAAACGGAACAGATATCTATGTGCGGTTTTCACCGTCATGTTTTTGATAAAATTAAGCTCCAGACACCTATATTAGTCTTCGTCTATCTCCTACAGAAAAGGGTGTTTCCCTTTGAAAGCGTCCAATTTGGCCCACCCTGTACATGTGTTGATAAATAATATATGTCAAGGGTCGACAAAGGCGCGGAACTTAAGATACCGCTGAGCCGGCAGTCGCTGGCAGTCGTCGGCAGTCACTGGCAGTCGTCGGCAGTCACTGGCAGTCTTGTATAAAATGACATTTTGGCAATACGTGTACATTTTTTACCCTAGTGAGACACCCCTCGGGTGCAAATAAGGGTCGTCAGGCGGTCGAACCGACGTTGGTACCCGACGATAATCCACACCTTTACCAAAATATTTAATCACAGCGAACAAAAATTTAGAACAATTTTGGGTAAAAGGTGTGGATCCGGTGGCTGACCTTGAAGCCCATATTTGCTGCATTTGATCATCGATACTACGCAAGCGCACATCGTCGATGTTGCCAAATTGCAGTTTATTTTCGAATTATTTGCAGTTGAAATTTTTTTTTTTGGAGTGTTTAATCAATTAAGTTATTTAATTTCTAGTTATTTACAGGCAACAATAGTTTTGATTATATGTATTGATGTATCGAAGTACTACCATGACGAGTCTTATACTTAAAGAACAATACACGTCAATGGGAGATAGAGGTAACATTTTACCTATAATGTTACTAATATAATATACTTTGATTATAACGTTTGTATCATAATTTCTTAAAAATATCAAGTTAGTGGATTAATAGCAATTTTAGACATATATTTTATCGAAGAGTGTGCTGATAAGACTAAAATAAGCTTTATGTTTTATCTTTTTCTCTTTAGAAGGGAGATGGTTTGTGTCGTAGAAAACATTACAGTATTTAATATCGTGTATTTTGATATTCTTTTCTTAATTTACTGTAATTTCTTGTTTCCAATAATGCCAAATCTTGACAATATGGTGAAGGTTGAGTTTTGATCTTATTAGTTTTATACCTGTGTTTATACAAAACCAAATTAAGACTTAGTTAGTTTGTGATTTATATTAAGATCTTTCTTATAATATTTGTTATGTCTTAATCTTAATACTATATTATAAAATAAATGTTAAAATATCTTAATTTTGCATATCCTATTCCATCCTTCCATTAGGAAAAATATGGTTTATAAATCATATATGCTATTCTAAATTAGGTGTAAGAATAGAGAAATCTTAAGGTAGCAGAAAAATTAATGCAATATATGTATAAACAGAATTAAACAAGGTAACTGTTAATGTTGCTGAAGCTGATTCTACAATTTTAATTATGGAGGCTAAAAGGCCTTTTAATGCCTCCGTAGTTTTGATGGAATGTTAACAAAAACTATTATGAACATGACATGGAGCTACAGCATTTAAAAATTAAAAAAAAAGAAAAAACTTGGGCACATCCCTTTTAATTTCCCGAATTTTTAATAAAGCCCTTTTTAAACGTTGCATAATAATCTAGAGCAATTAGATTAATTATAGGAATCTAGAGTTTTATTTCTATTTAATTTTATTGACTATGAAAATACATAATAAGCGTTCACGTGTTGTGCGAAATATTAAAATAATATAAATAATATACCGTACTATGATCGAAAAAAATAGCGTCAGCGATGACTATAAAATGAAGATCGCTGTCATTTTTTATGTAAATTTATATGGGAAATGTCCTCAATCGTCATTTCCCAGCCAACTGGACGCCGTTTTTTCGATCATACGGTATATATTGACAAAAAAACGCTGAAAAATACATATGAAGGAAAATTAAAATTATTTGTTTTCTACTGAAAATAATTCCAAAATAACTTGCACTCCGGCAACATCGACGATGTGCGCATGCGTAGTATCTGTGACTATATGCAGCAAAAACTCGTTTCAAGGTCAGCCACCGGATCCACACCATACCCAATTATGTTTATTTACCATAATTATTTTTTTGTAATTTTATACCTACAAATCTGGTATTGTTCTTCATTTGTTGGTGCCTAGCTAGAATTCTTTTCATGTAACGGCCATACCACGTTGGCGCACCAGTTCCCGTTCGATCACTGAAGTTAAGCAACGTCGGGCGCGGTTAGTACTTGGATGGGTGACCGCTTGGGAACCCCGCGTGCTGTTACTTTTTTATTATTTTTAATTAATAACAGTTGCTAGGAAATTTTATTTCTAATATAGTGGTAAGTTATATATAAAAATATATTTTGTGAAGTAATTTATGTATTAAAAAAATATATTTAATCACAGCGAGCAAAAATTTAGAACAATTTTGTTTATTTACCATAATTATTTTTTTGTCATTTTATACCTACAAATCTGGTATTGTTCTTCATTATTGGTGCCTAGCTAAAGTTTTTTCATGTAACGGCCATACCACGTTGGCACACCGTTCACTGAAGTTAAGCAACGTCGGGCGCGGTTAGTACTTGGATTGGGTGACCGCTTGGGAACCCCGCGTGCCGTTACTTTTTTATTTAATAACAGTTGCTAGGAACTTTTATTTCTAATATAGTGAGAAGTTACCGAGGAAGTTACAAAATATGTTTTAGAAAATAATTTCTATATTAAATAAAAATTATTTAATCACAGCGAACAAAAATTTAGAACAATTTTGTTTATTTACCATAATAATTTTTTGTCATTTTATAGCAAGGTGTAGCAATATTTTTAACTGAATTGATTGTTTATAAATGTTAGTAACAATTATTAACTTATCGCCTAGCATGTGAAATATATATTTGGGTACTTAGCACAAATACTCCCAATCGAATTTTATTTTTTTGGGTTTAAATAGTTTATTTTTAGCAGTTCAAACAATTTGGTATATGCTTTTGTATTAGGAGTTTAATTTGAAAAAAAATACACTTAAGAATGCAATCAAGATGACATACACTATCACGTTACTTGTGAGACAACTTAAGCAATGATAACTAAAATTGTAACTGAAATTTTTATTTTAAAAAGATTGCAGATTCTTGACAATATGGTGAACTTTGTCTGGAGCAAAATTGTTTCATCGTCTTTCCGAATATCATTCATTAACAAATTATAAAAATGAGACATGAAACTATATAAAATTATTTCAATAGGTTGGTATTTTATTTAATTATTTATTGTTTTTTATCTTGTTTTAACTAAAAAAAATATATTATTACATTTATTACCATTATATATTAAATATATTAATAGAAACCGAAAAAAAAATAAAATTGAATAAATTTTATTCATCGTATTGATATTTTTTATATAAAATATAACATATTATTAGTTATAAACAACATGGATAGAATATTGTATTTTAATATGGCACAGACAAGGGTCGGACTGTGTCCACTGTGTTTCTAACTGCATACAGTTCAATTATAGAGAACTCCGATGTAGTAATAGACCTCACGTTAGGAGCAAGAGTAATAGATGGCACTGATAGCACACATATTATCGCCTGTAACAAATTACTAAATACGTTTAAATTACAGATAAGTTACAGATAGATTATGCGTTTCCAAATTTGTATGCTCTATTTTATTTTAGAAATTAAGATTTTATTTCATTAATATAAATATTTTATTATAATATATATATTTATGAAATATAATAATAAGTAACCGTCAGCCTTATGTGATTGGATCTAATAATAAAATAATGTCGGTATAAAAATAATAAAATACTGTAGGTATATAAAATATAGTCAAATATTCTTATTTTAATTAATTTATTATTATAAAATTATTTTTTAGTTGAGGAGCACTTGATAATACCATTTGATATTTAATGATTTATTTATCAATTATTATACTCCTAGACCTAGAACCTGATAAAATTATTTGCTTTTCAGTAGTACCACAGATAACACATAATCCAGATGGCTCCTTACGTGTTAAAAATTGTCACCCTAATTTCACTCCAATTTGGAAAAATATTGGAGTGACGTTTGAATAATCTGAAATTTTTAGATTTCTTTTCTCACTTTTTTGGGAGGTTTTGCTTCTCTTGCACAGATGTCGCTTGCACTTCAGTTGCGTGGTTGCCAAACGTTATATCGAAATATATTTCATTTCATTATGAATATATAAAATTAAAGGTATACCAAATTAAAAATTATGTAATTTATAAACATGAAATAGATATGTTAAATTAATATATAAATATTTAACTTAATACGTTCATTATTATTTTATTAATTTATCGTCACACGTCATTTACCAGTTGCCTAATTACGAAAAGTTTTATATGACATTAACCTCAAAAATGATCTTTGAAAATTGTTGAAAACAAACAACAACAAACAGAGCAACAAATGAACAAATAACTACATAATGACTGAGAATGATAAGTGATAATAATAACTTTAATGATATGAAGGCTGATGAAGGTAATTATAAACATTATTTTGAGTTTGTTTAATAAAATATAGGATACAATATAACTAAGCAAAATCAAACAGTTTTAGACAACCAATACAAGATTTAGAACTTGACATCGTGATAAACAAATTGTACATTCAGGAACTCGTTTAAATATTATAGGTAAGTAATATTTTCACAAAACTAAACATTATAGCATAAAACCACAGGTAATATATAGAATATTACATATGATAAAATGTTAAATACTGATGTATATTTATTCTAATCACATTTAAATTTAAACTCAAAATTTTCATAAAAAGAAAATGATAATTTTTCGTAAATATAAAGTAAATAATATTACATATTTCAGGTTGATTGACGAATACTCTACAGTTGATTAGAGCCCATGATGATGCGAAGATAATTAATATCACCTAACTTCAAGAAACCAGTGTAAAGAAGTTTACATTCACAACTCATCTAACCATTATAGGTAATAATTTACAAAATTAGTCATTTTTGATGATAATATTAAGGTACTTAGGTACATTTTTATCTTCTAGATCAGTAATGTCGTCATAATTTAAATGAACTCACAGATAGCAATGGGGCACTGCACCGAAGCAGTATTACAAAATATGTGAAATAAAACTGTAATACAAATTGCTCTATAAAATTTAATAGAAATAAATTTATTTATGAAAATTAAGTTATGAAGTTTTATTTTTCCTAGGAAAAAAATAACATTTATATTTTGATCAATTTAGAACATTACAGTTAAAAAAATATGTGTTAGAATAACATATTTTTAATAAAATTGCAGCTTTTAATTTTTATACTTTTTTGCTTTTATATCAATAAGAACTAACGTAAGGAACAATTCATATTTATACTATGAAAACACATGCATATTTTTTGATGTTTTTAAAACCAGTGAATGATGTTGAAATATACTATAGTCTGTCCAACGAGAAGATCCTTGACAGTGATAAATGTGTCTGTCATTTTAATTTCAAAGTAGTTTATTTTATTTTAGAAAGAAATAAGTTGGTACAACTGGAACGCATAGCAGGAAATATTTAAAATTTGATTGACAAGATGACAAGTCATTACTTCAAAATATTGTGAAAAAAACTGTATAAAACTGAAAAAATGTAATCGAGTTATTTTATTTAATAAAAACGGTATGTGTTAATACAAAACAAACAAGAACAAGACACTACATACCAAAAAATATAAAAAAAGAACTATTATTTACTTTCAAGCTTTATGAAACTACCCGCATTTATGATTATATTTATCAATATAACTTATGTACAAATACAAATTTGTAATATTCTACAGGAATAAATAAAACAACATAGGTAAATAAAACAAACTATTTTATTAATAATAACTCCTACCAAATTTTATACCTTAAAGGTTGATTAATTAACTTTAATCTTAATTTTTTTAAACCAGTACCTTTTGACATTATTTTTCTGCAGTACTAATAAGTAATCCATTATTTACCTATCGTGTGATGTCGATATTTTACAGCTACTCCAGTTTTTAGTATGTGTTTAGTTTGATCCTTCTACCATATACGAGATGCACTTATCTACGACGAAACGGTATACAAACTTTATCGATGGAAACTTTATTGGTGTATAAGACTTTCTGCCTGGGCAGCGAGTATTACCCATAAACTGTGCTCTGGGTCTACAGTTAATTTTCACTCGATTTTTCCTCCACTTGACTTCAAAAGACACAAAACACACGTAATAATACGAATCAAAATGCATCATCTTGCAAAACGCAGGGTATTTAACAAAAGTTGACACAAAATTATAACCTATAATTTGGCAAGACTTTGACAAGCGTCAAAAATGACAAAAATCTAAAGGCGAGTTCATACGCATCGGCGTCCGTTTGTCGTTCATCGTTCCGTCAAACCAATAAAATTGAGATACGATCTGTCATTTTTTAAATAAACCAATAAAACTGGTTAAAAACAACAAGACACGACGCATGACGGATTTATATTTAAACCCATCCATAGATAACTTAAAAATTATTAGAAACTTTTTTTAGTAAAATAAATAGATTGGTATGGGACGTCATCTGCCTTTCTTCTGTCATCGTCTGTCGAAATCTTACCTGAGAAAAAAAACAGAGTATACACCTATTATTCTTATTAACTAACTTTAATTACAAACTTACACATTATTGTCATTGGAAATAAATTAATTTGGATATTCTATTTGTTTAGAACCTTTTTTACCTATTGTAGTTTTTTTAAAACCTACTTGATTTAAAACAAAAAAATGTCACCTGTTGTGACAAAATAAGGTCTTTTTTACTAGAAAACAATCTAGTGAGCTTTTCTAATAATACTTTATTTGATATACCGTATGACCGTAAAAACGGCGTCAGCGATGGCTATGAAATGAAGATCGCTGTCATTTTAAATGTAAATTTATATGGGAAATGTCATCGATTGCCATTTCCCAGCCAACTGGACGCCGTTTTTTTTTCGTTTTATTATCATATGAATAATATGTATTCCCATCTGTTAATCTTTTTATTTTAAGGAAGATTTAGGAAGGGTAGCTTAAAACATGTTTGTCAATCAATTATCTTTATATGTCGTTTGTAAAAATATTTTACAGTAGTAGAAAATAAAACTGTTTTTAAGGCGAACAGCTTCTTTGCTAAAATATTTTTTTGGTCCCAATACATAATGATTTACATTTTTTTTTAACTTCAAATAATGAATTTAATGGAAAAATTGCAAGTCATAAAAACGTTCTAAATATACAAATCTATCCATTTTTTCCATATCGTAATATCGGCCTATAAAAGCTATAACAACATAGGTAACTAATATTTATAATTTAATTCGAGTTTTAATCTCAAATAATAAATGTTTTTACTGGTGTATTTCTGAAGTGTTCATTATTAAAAGTAGATATTCTTCAAGTTATGCGAAGTAATAAGTAATGTTTCCGGTGAGTCCGCGTATATGTCACCGGATTTTGGTTAGTATAAAGACTTTTTCTATAGAAAGAATTTTTTCTGTATTTTCCTTTCAAAATAAGACTAATTTCTTCTTATTCTTTTAAATATTACAGTGTTTCTTTTTCCTTAAATGTTATACTTAATTTTCGCTTAAAATTTAAAAATCACAAATGGAGGAAAATATACGTTATTGAATAAAGTTTATACAAATCACTTTACCATAACAAAAAAGTAAAAACATGTCATGGCGGAAGATATTCAGGTGGCATTTCACACATTTATCTATTAAAATCAAGATTAAAATAATAAAGTTGCGTAACATGTTATACACGAGATAGAAAGTTTCAGAATCGATTAATACGCAATACGCTACGCAGTCAACTTATTCCTATGCGCAGATAAGCGTCTTCAAGACTCTTCCTTTGGCCAGGGTCACGACGCCGCCGAAGAGGAATCGGTCTACGTTTGGCTAAACAGGCTGGACACGGTGGAGTACGATATTGGCGAGTCTGAATATTTATAAAAATTTGCAAAGCAAAATATGTTGGAAAAATAATTAATCCATACATAAAATCCATACATAAAAGCGCTAAAGTATTTTTATAGTGCTTAATGGCTATTTCTTTGTGTAAAACGACTAAATACTAAAACATACCTGAAAAACACCTACACACAATACCTCCAGAAATAAATTATTTGTCATTGTCAGTGGTGTGTCAGTTAGATTATATATTACGTTTTTAGATATTTTAGAGTGAGTTCATGCCGCCAACAATTGTGAGATTTCTCGGAAATCAGGTGTACATGTGTTTAAGTTTCATGCGTCAAGAGATCCTAATTTATGTACAAAGTGGATAGAAAATTGTGAGTTCATTCATATAGAATTTTTTTGCACATTTTGTATGTAAAAATACGGCGTTAAGTTACCTTAGAAATGGTGATGGATGGCTTTTACCATATACCGTATGATCGAAAAAAAAACGGCGTCAGCGATGGCTATGAAATGAAGATCGCTGTCATTTGATATGTAAAATTATATGGGGAATGTCATCGATCGTCATTTCCAAACCAATCGGACGCCGTTTTTTTTTCGATCGTAGGGTATAATTTAACACATTAAGAGTTGTCCATCGTTATATTTCTATATCTATGCAAAGTTTACGATGGATAAATCAAGTAATATTAAGTGGATACAAATTATAAATGAATCAGTGAATATAAACTGTTATAAATTATAAGTAGGTAATGCAGTTAGTGAATATACCGTACGATAGAAAAAAAAGGCATGGGAGTGGGCTTGGAAATGAAGATCGCTGTCGTTTAATAGGTATGTAAAATTATATGATAAATCTTATCGATTGTCACTTCCAAATCAACATGACATGCATCTGTACATCATTAATCTCACGACTAGAGTTTCCTGAAATCCCGAACTCCCAGGATCCCGGCGGCGTGTATGTTTATCTCCGAAATCCCGATATTAAATTCCGGGATCCCGAAAATCCCATAAAATTTAAATGTCCAATCTAAAATGATTCGACTTTATACACCTTTCAAAGATCAACAAAACAAAGTAAAATTCATATTTAGTAAGTAAAAAAATGCAGTTTCAGACAATAGTTTGGTTTGGTTTGGTCGAGTTTTGTTAACACTGTCTAGTCTGGGCTTTTTTATTTGATATATGTTAATCAAATAAAAAAGCCCAGACTAGATAAAATCAGGAGCTAACTAATAGAATCATATCAATTCTCTCTGATGTAGGATAAGTTTCTATTTTCGGAAAATTTCTTAGATTTTTTTTGTTTCAACTGACGAACTGACACAAAATGATAACTAGTTGCTAAAGTTGAACTAATTTGACAGCTATGTTGAAGTAACGTCAGACATATCACAGCCACCCTAGATTTTATCAAATAATAAAGATCTATTCACACTAAATCATAGAAATGAAAATATCTAGGAAAATCTTTGTTTGAGGGGTAGGCCGGCAACCTTAATAGTATTTGGAAGTGACATGAATTTCCCATTGAATATCGGAATAATATTCTGGGTGATTCAATTAAACTAAAGGAGTTATACAGGGTGGGTATTAAAGGAGTTATACAGGTTATACCAATGTTCAGCATTAATTTTGCCCCACCCTGTATAACTTTATGGGTCAGGTTTTAATTTGATTTAAAGTGCAATAGAGTAAATTCCAATTTAGGTAGTTTTTCTTGAAATTTAAAAATTGTTCTTCAAAATCTTAAGTAAGTCTAAAACCTTACATTTCAGTCATATACTTCCCTAATAAAACACACCTTTATTTTTCTCTTAGAATCTAAAAATTAATTAATAAAGGGGGTATTCCCTTACAAAAAAATACAAATTTGATGTGTAACTTTTTTTGGGGACACCCTGTAGAACTCTCTATATTTTTAAAACGTACGCAGAATTAACTTACATATGATCACAAAATTTCATTTCAATACGAATTGGTCGTTCTCCTTGGAGCCTCCGAGTCATATGAGAGGCGCCACCCTGTATAATTTTTATATAGTTGCACTTTAATAAATTGTTAGTTAAAACTAACAGTCCTACGAGTGTGGAATTTTGTACAGGTGGATTTTGGACATTCATCTCTTAAGAGAGTGAAATAAGGGATGAAAATTTGTACAAACATTTGTTAAAATCGGGTTTAGAAGTATGAAATTCTGTTTGTTCCTTATGTAACGTAATTTAGTAATAACAAGCAATTTTTTTTCAGAACGTCCACACCTCATTTCACCCCGTTAGAGGGCGAATTTCCAAAAATTGTTCCTGAGTGCTAAATTACGTTACATAAGGAACGTCTGCGCAAAATTTCATACTTCCAAAACCGATTTTAATGAATTTTTGTACAATTTTCATCCCTTAATTCTTATGGGGCGAATGCCTAAAATTCGCTTCTGAGTACTCACTTTCATCACTTGAGGAACCTCTGTGCAAATTTTCATACTTCTAGGACAGATTTTTTTCAGAAAGTTCACCCCTCATTTCACCCCCTTAGAGGGAAAATTTCGAAAAATTGCTTCTTAGTGCTAAATTACCTTATATAAGGAACGTCTGCGAACAATTTTATACTTCTAAAACCGATTTTAACAAATTTTTGTACATATTTTCATCCCTTATTTCTTAAGGGATGAATGCCCAAAATTCGCTTCTGAGTATAACTTTCATCACTTGATGAACCTCTGTGCAAATTTTCATACTTCTAGGACAGATTTTTTTTCAGAACGTTCACCCTTCATTTCACCCCCTTAGAGGGAAAATTTCCTAAAATTGCCTCTTAGTGCTAAATTAAGTTACATAAGGAACGTCTACGCAGAATTTCATACTTCTAAAACCGATTTTGACAAATTTTTATACCAATTTTCATCCCTTATTTCTTAGGGGATGAATGTCCAAAATTCGTTTCTGAGTACTCACTTTCGTCGCTTAATTAACAATTTCCAAATTTCAAACTCCTCGGACTAATTTTAAAAAAGTATACAAAATTTCACCCCCAGTTTCACCCCTTAGTAGAAGAATTTCCTAAAATCGCTTTGTATAATCGAACTGTTAAGTTACGCTACTTAAGGCACCTCTGTGCAAAATTTCGTAGTCCTAGGACATGCTTTTTTTTGTATACAAAAGTACCCCCCATATCACCCCCTTAACGAGCGAATTTCCAAAAATTGCCCCTTAGTGTTCAATTACGTCAGTCAAGGAGCACTCGTGAAAAATTTCATACTCTTAAACCAGATTTTAACAAATTTTTATGCAGCTTTTCATCCCTAATTTCACCCCCTTAGCGGTCGAATTTTCAAAAAATCCCTTCTTAGTGCTCATTTACATCACTTAAGGAACCTATGTGCCAAATTTTATTTATTACTATATAGATAACCTTTACCCTTATTTTCAGCTAATGAATATTAAGAGACAAATAATAAAAATAAAATCTAAATTATAAATTTCATGGCTATAATAGCATATATATGCATCTAGAAATTCTGACTTTCAAACATCCACTGCGACTAGTATTTTCATATCCAATTGTCTAGTATTAAAGTCCGAATATACATTTTCCCTGGGTTTGACAGGGAATTTGCTTATAAATGTGAACAACCGGCTACGTGGCTTCACATCGCGTGGCCGTGGTGTGGCTCCAAATTCGTTCGTTTTAAAAATATTATTAGATTTGGCTATAGGCGCCCTCTGTGTCATTAATAGGGAACTGTCTCATCGAAAACATGCTGTTCCGTAAGCAATGGCCATCTGGATTATGTGTTATCTGTGGTAGTACGGAAAAAACTATTATATAAATTTAGTAGGGAATAATTGAAGCTATTAAATTTTGTATTTTATGTTTTATTTTATTTTTATACTATGTTCATTATTTTTATTAGTACATATTATAATCGAACAATTTTTGCAGTTACAGATAATATTATTTAGTAATCTTACTATCAAAGATTAATATCAAGGAAATAAGAATCATTGCAAAACAATTATTTTCATAGAAATAGGTACAGGTAAATAGATATGCTAAACGTTTCATTAATTTAGCAGTTCTTAAGTATCCATTCTTGATTTCTCTCTTGAACTATATTCCCATATATTTTGGAATTTCGGTCTCTATGAATAGGGTGGTATACTTTAAAACAGATTGCAATAAGTACATTATTTACGTATAATAAAAAGCATTTTTTAAATTTTAATTAATTTATTTTTATTTACATACGATAAATATGAGCAACACATTATTTAAGGTAAGATCCAACATAGAATTTGTTAACAAAAAATAATACTTTTTCTTGAAACTTCTGTATTATTATCATACTCATTTCTATACTATATTTTCAATATTACACACATATTTTTTAAACTAAAAGTAAAAAAAAACATTTCCATTTTCCGTGTTTGCAATAAAATTTTAATCAGGTACCCTAACTTACAAATTGTTTTTCTTAAACTCTTAAAGTATACTTATTTTTATTAACATCTACATGCATACATACATATCACAGTTTGGTGAAATTAAAATTAACAAAGTAATAAACATACATAAAAATTCAGTAGTATTTTAAAGCTTTCAGTAATTTACTTCGCCTATATTTTAAAAATAATTATATCAAACTCAAATTAGAAACATGTTTTATCAGTTAAATGAAACATTACAATTTAAACATAAAATAAAATTCTGGAAGACATTTTATTAACAGAAACAAATTCTTAATGCTAATTTAAAGCTTTTTTAAAGTTAATCGGAAATAATCACTTATTTTTCACTGGAAACCTAATCACCAGGGTCGCCACATCGGTTCAGGTTTACCCACTTCACAACCCGGCGAAACGGGCGGTGTCAGACTATTCCTGAAATGGGGACTTTGCCTTATCTGCTGTTGGTCTTGCTGAATTTGGATATTCTGAGCTACGTTGTCCAACTGTCTGACGCAAGCTCCGAGATGCTGTAGCAGTTTTCTTCCTGCTGTGGGATCTACCAGATCCGAAGAAGCTGGCGTCGAAATAAAATGAGTCACCTCCTGAGCACACTGAGTAAATCCAGCCCGAAATCTATCGGCGTAACTTTGCTCCTGTGGAAGAATTAGTTGATGTTGTCTCTTGAGATTGTGCAAATGGCGAACAGTAAGCTCCAAAATATCTGCTTTTTCCAGCTTGGAAACATTCTCGCCTTCGCTCTGGAGCGCCGTCACCATGAGTTCTTTCAGCTCATCCAGACACCTGTTGATACGTGCTCGTCTTTTTCTCTCCAACATCGGCTTCATGACTTTTCGGTACTGATAGGTGCGCGAAATGGGCTCTTCTCCACAGTCCCCGTTCACTAGGTAAGGTGTAGGTGCCATTCTACGTAATGGTACTATCACGTAGTACGACCGGCCCGGGATAGCGTAACGAGTAACCGACGGCACAAGAATGAAATGACGTCTAAGCGGTATATAATTTTATATTCCTTCGTCCTTCGTGACTGGTCGTATCGTAGAGTGGGGTTTAAAGTACTTTTCAATGGTTGCGCTGTCTCGGTTGTGGCCAGGCACGATCCAATGGGCTGTCTCTATCGAATCTATCGAAACGCTAAGGGGTGACGGGTGCTCCAGGGGTGTGCCTTACCGACTGCCGGTGTATGATGTGGGAACCTAGATTTTTCCCTTTCCTGGGATCACTCGGGGTGATTAAGAAGCGTGTTGTTTTTTTTTTGGCCTCTCGATTTACGGACCCTTTTATGCAAAGGTATTTTAGCCCAAATTTATATAACGGGCGTTTTTCAAAAATGGCTCAACTTTTTTTTAATTTTTGATGCAAAAAAAATAACTTTGATATGTTCTAGCGAGTGTTTTAGTATTCATATACTAAAACACTCGCTAGAACATATCAAAGTTATTTTTTTTTGTGTCATCACAAATCTATTTATGTCATCACAAATCTATTTAAGTTATTTGTGTCATCACAAATCTGGATTGACTAATGTATTCAATAATTACTTTCGGTCACTTCCTGTTTTACCAGAAATGACTATAACTTTTGATTTTTAGATGGTACCCTAGATTTTTTTACTTTATATGATTAATATTGAATTGATATTGATAATTACATTCTGAATGGACATATCATATTATGTCAACTTTTGACATTTTCAATTAAAAAAGTAGAATTTTAAATTCCATTCTAGAGTGTCATAGCTGTGTTAAAACCATTAAGAATCCATTTCACTAGTCCAAGAGACTAGTGAAGTAGGCTAGTCACTAGAGAAGGTAACAACATAAGCGTTCGGTATTTAACATTTTATATAAAACTAGCTAGGTATTACACAAATGAAGAAGGAAATTAAAGATAAAGGATTATACTATATCCGTATTGTAGCACATTTTTAGACAACTTCTTTATTATTAAGATTTTGATGGTCAAAAGTCAACAAAATATTCCTTATGTTTGGACTAAATTTTCTCGAAAATAAAGACATAATTTAAAATTCCATTACAATACCGAAACAGACTGAAGTTTTGTGATTATGGCCGTCGTATCAGTGAAATTTAAAATACTATTTTTTGTTTGCGAAAATGTCAAAAGTAAACATTTGTATATGGTTGACATATGATGTCATTCTATTCGGAATGCCATTTTCTATCAAATAAAGTAAAAAATACCAACGGACGCTACCATTTAAAAATCAAAGTTTGCAGTGATTTCCGGCAAAACAGCCAGTGAACTCAAATCGATCAATCAATCGAAAAAACGTTAGTCAATCAATCCTCATTATTCAACATACCAAATGCGTGAGCCACTTTTGAAAAAAGCCCGGTATACCTTTCAGTAAATCCGAATATTCCCAACAAAAATCAAATATACGCGGTTTCATTACATATGGCTCTTTCAACGCCCAACGGTAAAATACCTGATAAAAATCATTGGGTGACTTTGATAAAAAATTACTGTTGAAAACCCCATAATATGTAATATTATTATAATACCACGAATGTCCGCAAAACCGTTAAAAAATTTGAAATGCTTTAAACCCAAAAAGTCGATATTCATTTTTTAACTCTCAAACTAACAAAGAAGTAATATACAGGGTGTTCCATTAAAAAAACTATTTTACATTTTAGAAAGTTTTGCATAGAATTTTGAATACGCTCTATGGTTTAAGATTACGATATTTGTAGCAGAGTAAGTACAGACCCACTACAATAAATACCTAATATACTTAGTTTTAATTTCAGAACATTTCTTGTATTTTTAATAATTTTTCGAAAAAAGCCCCAAAATATATTTAATAATACCTTAGGATTATGTAAAGTGATAAAAAAGGAAGCCAAAAATGCAATAATATACAGGGTGTAACAATATACATATCGTTTAAAAAAATCATCCCGATCCTAACCTAACCTAACTCAAACTTTTTTGAGTCATCTTGTAAAGGGTAAAATTTCAAATTCTAATATATTTATACTTTAGGTTTGCAATTAAACAATTTTTTTATTACAGGAGCTATGGATGCCCGACGCACTATTGCCGAACCCTGTATACAACAGTCTCGCATTGTCCTTAACCTTAATTGATAAATGAACTCTTGAACATTTTTGTATGTTCGTAAGTTGTTTGGTACAATGCCTTATTAAAATTAAATGTGGTAGGTATGTATATAAAATAATGTAAAAATTTAACATCTTCAAAATCGACTTAAAATTTACTATGAAAAAATTGTATTATTATCGATAGTGGAGTGCTTTAAGCCTTTATGAGATACAATACAAACCTCGGAATTCATTTACTGTGAACGAATTCTTATAAAACTTTTTGTATTGTATTGTTAATAAGATATATTTCAAAGTTTACCCATTTAAATTCGCTGCTTTCAATTTAGTATTTAAATAAACACACATAATACAAATGCATACATACAAGATGGTTCTGGATTCCGGAAAAGCTCTGTATCAGGATCAGTGGCGGACTAAGCCTGTCGGGGGCCCGGGGCGGCGAAGCTAAATGTGGCCCCCGGTCTGTTTAGATAATGATATGCTTCTAATGCACATTTTGTAAAAATTGAATGACGTATGTATAATGGTTGACAAAAAATTCAAGTATTTATACAGGGTGTCCTGATGAGATTTTGTGCATATCATTGTTTCACAATGAGATCTATCCATTAAAAATATTTTCAATATGGACACTTTCGGAAGTACCAGAAGTTGACAGCAACTTTCTTATTTTAAATGGGTGACCCCATTTTACATACTTAAACTCTCTGTTAAATTTTATGAATTTTGATATTAAACACTCTATACCTAACGTTTTTGAGAAAAAATATATTTATAATTTTTGGAGGAAAAAAACTGCCTGTCAAAAATATGTATATAGCCTAAAAGTCAAATTTAGTGATTGCCACAGTCACTAAGAGAAGACATGTGGAGAAGACATGTGGCAATCTATGTCAAAAATTAAGTTGTCCGAATGTCATATAATAATGGCCGCAGCTGTCATGGAATTGAGCGATTAAAAAATTGTCATAAATCATTTTTTTTTTCAAATGGAAATCCACTTTTTTATTTCACTTGTGAAAATATATTTATATAAATACACTTTTTAAACTTTTAAGCAGGCATTAGTTATAGGAAATTCAAATAATTCATTTTCTGACAGATGGGAATAAATTGTCTGACTGTTTGACACTTAATGTCAAAGGAAGCTAGATAAAATCAAGAAAAATATACGTTTTCAAACTAAATCTTAAATAACTTAAAAACGATTTATTTTAGTATAGGAATATGTCTAGTTAAAACGTAACGAATTGGAAAACCTTTTTACTAGTGAAATAAAAAAAGTGGGTTTCCATTTGAAAAAAAAATGTTTATGATAATATTTTAATTGCTCAATTCCATGACAGCTACCGACATTATTATATGACATTTTAACAATTTAATTTTTGAAACAGATAGCCACATGTCTTTTCTTTATGTCACAGGGGCTGTGATAATCACTAAATTTCACATTTCAAAAAATCACTAATTTTGACTTTTAGGCTGTACAAATTTTTTTGACAGGTAGCTTTTTTCGTTCAAAAATTTTAAATATTTTTTTCTTAAAAATGCTTCCCGGGAAATACGGCGACAAAATATCGCGATTTTGTAAGTCCTCCAAGATCCGAGGGGCCCCTTCGCTGTCTCAGACCCGTGGCCCTCGTTATACTAAAGACTTCACTGCTCGTCATCAGTAATGAAGTTAGAATACAAGTTATATGTGCATTGATTGTAATTTATGTTTATTCAGTAAAAATAAATAATGAGGCTATTGAAAAATAACTTAAAAGCTAAAATAAATAAATTCAGTCTCAAAATATATAAAAAATAATAATTATTCGATATTTTAAACAAAGAAAATTACCCCTTGATTTAATTTCCTAAATAGAAAATGCCATTGACAATTACTGGGGCCTGATAATTGATAATTAAGTAAATATCTGCTTCCATTTATACTGTTTATACCTAGTTGGCGTATACCTATGGTTTGCATACTCCACCTACAAACTGCTTTATAACTACTGAACACATAATGGCTTTGTTTGCCAGTTGAATAAAACATTACTTATTAAGATTCAGAGGCCCCCTAAAAGACGGGGCCCGGGGCGGACCGCCCCCCCTTAGTCCGCAACTGATCAGGATTCCTATTTGAGATTTTCACTCCAAACCTTTTACAAAATATGTATTTAATGGTAGTTCACATTTCAAAAATATTTTTATAGATATACAGGGTGAGTCAAATATATATCTATATTTGTTTAGTTCATTGAATTTGCTATACAATTCTATTTCCAAAAATACCTTAATACCATAGAGTATATACTAAGTGGTTTTTGAATTATGACCACGTCCATGAGGACATCAATCTAGACGACCAGAAACCTTCGTATGAGAATTTCTAATCGAGACGATCGACTTATTGTAAGTTTATCGCTAAGAAACCGCCAGCTTTTCAAATTGATAATGGATTGCACTTAAGGAACGTACATACTAACGGACTATAAGAAGAAGATTAAATGAAGCAAATCTTATGTCAATAAGGCCTGCTTCGGGACCAGAACTTACTAGATGTGTTGACTAGGCCCAAATGCAAAGGCATGGTTTTAATGTAAAAATTACGAAAAAATGTGTCTTCTTCAAAAGCAAATATTTCCAACAAAAATAAGGCCAATGGGATGAACCAAAAAACAAACCATCGAGAAAGGATGTATCTAGATGATAAAATGATTTTTAAATTTCTTGCTGTTTTAACATATTCCACAGGGTGTTTCAAACTTTCACCAAAATATCAACATTTTGTTTTCCCTCGTATAATTAACAGATGGGGAGCTTCATTCTTAATTTAGAAAAAAATACTAAAAAGTCAAATAATTTGGCTACGCACTGCTTAAAAAATCGTCA